TTGGTAGACAGCGGGTCCACACTGAACTTCATCGATGAAGAGCTATCCAAGGAGATCGAGATTTCATTCACAAAGGTGAAACCTTTTGGAGTCAAGTTAGCCAACAGAGAAACACTTCGAGGAGATATACTTTTCAAAGGAGTAAAGATGGAAGCTCAAGGTCCAAAGATGAGAGTTGATCTATATGCCTTACCATTGAAGGCGACTGATGTGGTACTTGGATGTCAGTGATTGGAGATGCTTGGTCAAATCACAACCGATTATTGGAGAGGAACTATGGAGTTTGGGCGATCGAGTAAGCGAATCAAGTTGATGACCGATGATCCAGGGGAGTCACCCGATGAAGATGAAGATGATGGTCGAGTACGCAAGCTGAATTTCATTATCCTTGAGGACAAAGAAAGTCTTCAAGAGGAGGGGAGCTATACGGAAGTGGTTATTAATCCCGGAGAGTCTGAGGACGAGACGATGGATGAACTTGATATTTGAATAGAGAACATGCTCGAGGAGCCACATGAGGAGAATTATCGACCTTCTTGTAGGCGAGATTGGCCAAGAGGATGTGGCCCAAGGTCAAAGAGGCGCAAGGCCAAGTGATCTAAGAGGCAGTGCGAGTCGAGGACTAATGCAAGGAGCAATAGGTGCAAAGCTTGTGCGAGGAAGCGACGTGCTTGTAGAATGGAGGCTAAGAGAATGGGTGCGCGAGGGGTGGAAGATGGGTGGAAGATACGTGCCGGAGATTGCTATAGGACGATATGCGAATGGGCGAGCACGAGCGAGTGGCGCGCATCGGGCCTTGATGCGGCCTTGATGCGCGCAATGGGGTGGAGCGCACGCGGGCAGTGCTGGGCGCACACGGGTGCGCGGCAGACGAGCAAGCCACAGGGATTAGCGGTACGCGTGAAGCTGCGGGTGTACGGAGGTGCGAGGCAGGCGATTGGGGCGCGGGCATTGGCTGGGACACGCTGGAGTTGGGCGGCAAGGGCGCAGGGTGCGCGGGAGGCGCGAATGGTGCACACGCGGAAGGAGGCCTAGGCCCCGAAGGCCTAGGGATGGTAGCAGCACATGCGCGCGAGGAGTTCGGCAGCGAAGGGGCGTGTGTGATAGCGTGCGAGTGTGGGGCAGGCGAGCGAAGTCCAGACTGTGCAGGACTAGATCTAGGAGATGGCGAGTGCGCAGGTGGTAGAAACGCGCGAGACACGGTGCACGGACGGACGGCGAGAGCGACGGGCGCTGTGTGGGAGACAAGCGCGCGGGTTGCCGCACGCAACGAGGAGTAGGCGAAGCGAGGCGGCGCGCGAGCAGAGGCGGCTAGGGATTAGACGCGCGCAAAGCTTGAGGCGGCTAGGAGTCTTGGCCAAACGACTTGGAGTACAAGCAAAGCAACTTGGAGTTCAAGACTTGCTAGTTAATTAGGATTCTATTTCCTTATTGCTTTTATTTACTTCTAGCATTATTAGGATTTTATTAGTAGAAGATGTCAGGAGATTTAATTACCTTAGGATTTATATTATTGCTTGGATTAGGAGATCTATTTAGACTAGGCTTAGATTTATTTTGCACCTATAAATACCCATGTACTCTCATCATTATGAACATGTCGAATGAGTGAATAGAAAAGGGAACGTTGTGTTCAATTGTCTGTTTAAGCAAGGCCGTAGTGTGTGTTTATCATACAACCGTGTCGAAGAGAAGGCCCTTAGAGCGTCTTGAAGTTACACTTATCGTGTTTACTCAAAGACCCCGAGTGCGCGATTTGTAATAACCCAGTTTCTTGTTAATAAAATTGATGTATTTCCTATTATTATTCTCGTTCATTTTCAGCAAAAAAGTTCGACTTTAAGTCGAAAAGTCTATCCGGTTAATTATTAACCAAGTTAAGTCGATAATTAATTCCGAACCATTTATTTTATAAACGGACATGATTAATTGGGATTAATTATTGAAAGTTAACAATGTTCGGATTTAATTTCGAAGTCAAATCATGTTAAGTCATGAATGTACACAAGGTACACTCATGCACGTATGTCATGCGTGCAATTGCGCACGCGAACGCATACAGCGCGCATCGCCGCGCATAGCGCATGTAGCGCGCATCATTAGGCCGCTAAGCGCGCACTTAGGCAATGCTTAGCAACATGATCAAGCCAAATTCGCTCCCTAAGATTACCGTGTGGGAAAGTCTAAAGATAAATGTTGGGTGTGCAAGTGGGGTGATGAGTCACCTAGTAGCTTGCACACATGGCGCAACACGCACGCACGGGCGATGACTAAGCCCGTGCATGCTTGACACCTCGGCGATGACTAAGCCTAAAATGCCACACCTCAGCACTTGGCCGAGACACATGGCCAAGTTTTACCCTCGGTTTTATCCCTTTAAATAACCGAGCGGGTGGAACATTTTTCCCCATGCATTTTCACGCAAGAACAAGCCAAACTTCAGCCAAAAATCTGAGGGAAAATAGTGAGAAAAATATTTTAGAAAAATAGTACAAAAATAGCTAAGGAAAGACGAAGCAAAGGAGAAGCAAGTACGCACGCACACAAGCACCGATTACGCACGCACATCGCCGTGCACTCTTGGACCGAACTGAAGGGTATACATTCTTTTACCCTCTTTTTATGTAGTTAAGTTCATGTTAACAAGATCATGTCGAAATCATGTTGTTCGGTCCAAAGTTTTAGTAAAAATGGCCTCGGAGGTGCTATTTAAGCCCTCTCCATGTGATTTCAAAAAGTAACCGGCAAGTCCCGAGTAATCTATGCATATTCAGTCATTTCAAGTCATTTTATACTCAGTCATGTAAGAGTTGCCGGAAAAAGTAGCCGGACGACCGGCGAAATGCCGACCGAGATGCCTACCGCACACAGTGTGCGCACAGGCATGCCCGGCAGGTCCAGCGAGTACACAGGCAGCGTCCGCGCGCCCAGTAATGCGCACGCATGCCCAGTACTCGGTAGTCAAGCTTCAGTAGTGCGCGTAGACGTGTGCAGCGTGCGTCAACACGCCCAGTGATGTCCGCCTAGCCAGCCACGTACACCTCAG